AGTTACATAAGCTTTAATAGTGGATTCTCGCAGTTGCCTCTTCATTGAGTTATTATAAAAAAATATAAACGAGGAGTCTAAGTGCCATTATGTATAATAACTTATATAGTATACGAGTTCGACCGTATAAGATGATAGGGAACCAACGGTTTAAAAGTACGCGATAAGCCTATTACTACTTTTTTGCTACTTATAATCTTAGCCTTATTTTATTATATAGGTTACATTAGTATAGTACTAGATTTTTCTATTTAAATATAGGTACGCTGTAGTTACGAACGAATTGGATTGGCGTTCAAACGCATAATGTTGTAATAAATTATTTGTGTGTTGTACGCAGTTAGATATTATATAAAATATTAACGTGCATAACTCACAAAAAACTTACTGAAACGGCAATTAAACATTCAACGGAAAAATATCCGCGATAAAGCCATATCTTTAGTAATACCAAGAAGGTTGAATTTAAAATGAATGATGATTATTATTTTTTTCATTTTCTTCCTAGCTTTACCTCATATAAATGGGGCCACTGGCCAAATCTCTGTTCACATTACTCTACTAGCCTACTACTCTACTATATATTATATGTCATTTTTTATTTATGGCAATCATTTACTCGTTCTTTGATCTATCTTTACCTTTAAATCTCTCCTGCTATTTAATTATGATTTCCATTTTCTCTCTCGTCATGCCCAAGTCATCTAGATTCTAGAAGTTAAACCGAAACCATTTTCACTGTTAAAAACTTTTATTCGTGATACTGACGATAAAATATGTTTCATAAACAATTTATATTAATAATAATTAAAAATTGAATAGTAGTGTAAGTTACTTTTTTTGAAAGTAAATTTTAATTACTAACTAACAAAATATTTACTCAAATATTGTACGTGATCTTTTTAACTGTATACATTCGTACTTAAGCGCAAATATATTCGATTTAATTTAACTGTTTAAATTCAATAACTTATCATATACTTTTCTTTTGTTCTATACAATATTGTGTTTTTAATTCATTATGAGTTCATTCTATAAAACATTACTCTTAGTAATAAACAAACAGCACTTAACTGTGTGTATTGAAAATACAGGTCATAATTGGTGTATAGGTCATAATTGTTGACAATTAAAACCGTAAAAAGAAATTACATAATTGTCGAAGATAAAGAACACTAAGTATTCTTATCCTACGCAAGACTGATATTATATTTTCGTTCTATTATCTATTATATTCTCTAATGTAAAATCAAAGAAACGAAGTGAAAATCACGTGCAGTCATTAAAGTATGAAATGTTGCGATGAAAAATGGTTAGTGGTTCGAACCATGGGTTCAGTATTCCAATGTCCATTAACGTCATATTGCGTACCCTCGGACATCGTGGAAAGTATTAATGAACGAAACATGCTCAGCTTTGTTTAAACGGTCTTATGGGCACAGCAGGTAATGTACAGAAGTAGCCGACAGCTGTAGTCGATATTATTAGTGTCGTGCCCGTAGTCCGAACTGGCATTTTTATTTCGGCCTTAGTAATTCTTAATATCAATTTAGGTTGTAAGAGTTTCTTCACTCGAGTGTCCACGCGCTACAATCCGCGTTAACAGGTCTCACTCCTACTGCGGATATAACAGTTAAAGTCAATAGACGACAATGTAGGAATGAATGGAACCCGACTCGACCACGTTAAATTTAACCACTCTATTGACTCCGGCGAATCCAACACAAGATGTTATTATATAAAAATATACAATAAAATATGCGTAAATAAGCTGAACGTCTCAATAAACTAAATTTAAAAAAAAAAGGCTGATTAATTAAGAGCGAATTTTAAAGCCTGATAAATGTTCAGCCAATCTGTATATACAATACACATACATATTACAAACACTATTTAAATCGTATTTAATTTTTAATAAAAAAATAAAAAGTATATATATAATTGTAATAATAAAATAATAGTTGCCCTAAGTTCCGACGCTATGTCGGATAAGTATAAGAAATAATAACAATAAATAGGAAAATGTATGTATGTTAGCATCTAGACTGGTTCGGAATGTTTTATTCAACTTCTAGGTATAATCATAAATATTGTTTGTAGTCTCTTCGGGCACCGCGGTAAAAATTATTGCAAAACCTAATCCAGGAAAACTAAAGCGAGGAAGTGAAAATAATAATATTAATTATAGAACACATTTCAATGTTTTGCGTAAAAGCCGCAAAAACGGTTATTATAAAACTCTATTAAACATTTTTGAATACAAAGCGTGGGTATGGAAATATATCAAGGCCTCAGTCATCGCCGTGCAATGTTAATTTACGGGTTTGGGCTTAATAAAGTTTGAAAATTATTGTCTATCGCTATGTTTATAATAAATATACATATAAAGCTATAGAAATTATATTATGGCATATTTCCGTGCACATTTCACGGTACTTGAACACACAAAATAAACATACGGCCGTGACTTTGTAACGACACATAAAGTGAACAGTGTATGAATATGTATAATGTACATTTTTGTTTTGATCGGTCCGAGCTACGTACACACTAGTATAATACTAGTAAAAATGTATTTCTCACTGTAAATATGTGCAAGCCAATAATCTTTGTAATTGTGGCTTAATAAGTGTCTTATTTCGCGTTAAGAAGTGCCTGGTGGAATTTTTTTTTATGCTGGGGGCTGAGGTTGCTTTGTATCTTTAAGACTTTTCATATATTACTTATAACATAAAATAATATGTAAAAGTATTTTAAGAACAAAAGTTTATCATTATTTAAAACATTATTTTTGTGAAGTTCACAATACATGTTTTACTTCAATGGATATGTTTAAATCAAATTAGTAAATTTTTATTTTCATTTGGACCAATAAAATATATTTGATATAATTTATATTGTAAACGATTGTTGGTTCAGTGCACTATATAATTATTACTTAGAGAAGGAAAAATAAGCATTTTCAAAACGTATAAATTATAATATTGTCATGAATCATTGTTGAACAACGTCGAAAGAAGAAAAGACACATTGTATAACCATAATATTATTATGAATTATCCTTGACACGACCAAATCTATCGCAGCAGTAGTTAGTTACCTACAACGAATGTCAATGAGCCTTTCCCCGTATGTGTACTCTATTTTCCTACAATATGTGTAATAATGAACATTATGGAAAGCCTACGAATTCATTGGTGGTTAATTTTTATCGTGAGCGGACTAGAGGAACGGACTGGAGGAGGTACGGGAAGAACTAATAACGTCTTGTCGGTCCAATATGGTTTTTAACTCTTGAAATCACAGAGCTTATTTCTAATTCTCGGACATCCCCGTAGTCGCGTCCATGGCTAGGGGATTTAGCCTCGACGACCTCAATTTGTATTCATATAGGTAAAAATCCTATGGACAATTTAATTTTTCCCATTAGAAAGACACAGAAGATCGTTGTCTGAAATAATTTTTTCTACTACAGCTTGTCTCGAACCGGGCCATCTCGCGTTTGGTTCTAAACCCGTGGCTGGACTGTCGTGGTGGCATTAGTAGTCGACAACAGATCAATTTACACGAGGGAAGTCGTTGGACGGGTTTTCAATACAATACAAATAATTACAACATAATAATACGAAGTGCGGTGTTTTCAATGGCGAACCGAATAGAACGGATCAACGGAACCTGTACGACCGGAAACGTGCACTTGCGGCCTATTCCGTACCCTCAGGCGCAACGTGTGGACCACCGATTCGATTGTACAATAACGTTGTGGCCATTCGCCGGGTATAGATAGTTACACACACGCCGCAGACAATATGAACGATCCAAGGACCCGTGGATAACATAATATCAGTTCCGGCTGTTGTATTATTATGATTATTATATTAGGCGAATAATGCGCTCTTAATGAAGTACGATCGAGTTACGAATAAAAGAGCCACTCCAATATTCAGGTCATCGGTGGAATATTTTTTAACGTTTAAAAACCAATACCCTTGAATGCGCCGTATCTTGGCGCTAATATAGAATAATGATAATTATTGTTAATATTATTGTAAAAGTGTAAATACAACACTTTAAAGCAAATTACCTAACCCGTGACCGTTAAACTCGTATAGTATGTATTTGTATAGGTCCAACGCGTTATTTTCTTGCCGTTTTGATAAGTACACGATGTAAAGCGTACTTGCGCAGATCAGGTGGTAATTTAATATGGCGTAAGCTTTGAGAGACAGTAGCTTTCTATTCGGTTCACGTAACGGTCGGTCACTTACATGACTTTGGTGCTCTTAATAGCGTTTTTTTCGCGCAAATTCATCGAACAATTTTTGTTTTTTCTTTTTAACAACAGTCTGAAGCGCGATCGAATCCGATATAGAGTTGGAAGCGTGATAGTCCTATACAATATAAGGCGAGCAATAATTGTACATATAGGTATTGTTTTTTCGTGTGATTCCTAGTTGGATATCAATCGGTTTTAAATAAGAAATAAATAGCTACAAAATATTTGCAGATATTTATTTTATCTCCTGACTCTTGTCTTGTCGAATTTTGATATCCAATAGTAGATTCGTTTGTGTATTAATACTCAACAAAAAATGCTAATCGCCTTGCTAAGAACTATCCTGGTACCAATAAAAAACGTCTGCAAATTCGCATATTTTTCTATTATGAATAAAAACTTGACGTACAAACTGGGATACTCGGGGGATGAAATAAAAATCTGAAAAAATTAGGGAAATATTTTTGGGAAAACATTTGGAGCCGGATGGCGGCTATCCAACGTCGCGCCGTGTTTCATTTAGGAATCGTCCTAGTATGTATATTTATTTGTAAATTTACACAGCACTGTCTAGTCCGTATGGAATTTAATTATGCATAAAGTATTAATAATGTTTGCTAAAAATAATAATTATAACACCGAGCAATGGTCGGTCCCCTGGTGCAGCCTAACCACATTGTTAAAAAATAATGAAACAATTGACGTTTTGATTATTCTGTTCTAGGAAATGTGGCCGTCGGAGCGTTCAAAGATGAAAAGAAGATCGAGAAGTACGACGACCCCGTGTCGACGGCTATTGGCGAATTTGGCCGGTGGCAAGCGATGCTCACGATAATATTGTCCTTGCTCAACCTGCCTTGTACGTGGCACATATTCGTTCTTACTTTTCAAGGGTTGGATACGGACTTCTGGTGCGCACCGCCGCCTGGCCTCGAGCACCGGATATCCGTGGACCAGTGGAAAAACTTGAGCGGAGTGTTCGTTGTGTCACAAAACATGGTTAGTTTTGTTTTTGCCCGTTCGGTTGGGAGTTCAAAAAAGTAAACAAAATCCATAAATTGCTTAACGTTTTTTTTTTCGGAATCCCTCCCTTATCGTCTCGAGATTCACACGACTATAATACTATGTACATTATATGGGCCCCACGACGGCCGACCGTGTACGTTTTTTAAACATAAAGAATTTCGACTAGGTTCGAGGAGTACCCGCACTTGTTTGTGGCCATTACGATATTATTACAGTGTCCCGGGTGTACACGAGTGGTAATTAAAATTTGACAGTCCGGCGATAGTGTACATAAAAGAACGTGTACAATCGCCTTTTAGCCATAGGATTTTGTTGTACACTCATGTAAACAAGACGGTATAGTAAAAAAAAATTACACGCCACTCGAATGTGTGAATAATGTTTATACTTTTTTGTTTTATCTCTATACAGATGGAAAAGTAGTTTGCATAGAATGTAGAATTATGTAGTTGAATAGTTACAAGGTTTTCGACGGTTGTGCAAATTAAAATAGACCGGAATTCATATCAAATTCCCCATATATGGCGTACTCTATCAACATTACTTGAACGTTAAATAACGCGATTAGTGTATAATAACCACTGGATAGGTGTATCGTATAATAAATAGGTACCTATTATAGGCATGTATTTTTATTTTGAATGTTTACAGCATATAATATTATAATTATAAGTGTAGGTCTTGTTACCTTTCCATTAATAGTAGTGGCGGCCTAAGCTCATAATCCCTATAAGGAGCATGTACAGTTGAAACGCCTACATGAGAAAATTTGCTTGAAACCCTAAATCGGTTAAGATGAAAAATTTAACTCAACATTTAAACATTTTTGACCTACAATTAAACGTATTAAACTTCTGTTTTTAATCAAATATTATTATATACAGAAAATATCATATTATACATACACATAGGAAAGCCGAATAAACTTATACTTTTATCATTACAAATTTTAATAATAAACTACACAGAATATAATCTTTAATTTTAATATTAAGCATACAAATTATATAAAAATATATAATAGACTCCTTTTTTTGAATAATTGTTCATAACATTTCCAACAGATTATTCGTATGTAGCTTAAGTTTAGATGTATATACATACATTTGTACTCAACTCTATTATGCCTGACCTACCCCAAAGATACACGGCTACTACTTTTTTTTTTTTAAATTAGGACCATTCGCTTCAGGTCGTTTTTGATAGGCAGCTATTCGAACATTGATGAAATCGACTGTTGGCTAGTGGGGGTTATATCATTTTAAATGCGGTAGCGACTTTGAGATAACGATAGGGTAGGCAAATGAGTAAGAGTTACAGAATGGAAAGAAATAGTAATAAAAAAAAAAGTACGCCTCCAAAAATTAATGAAGTATGTAAAAACGCTTATCCTTCACGAATTGGTTTCCCATATTTGCTGACTAAGGTTTCATACAAATTAAATTACATGTCATTAACTATTGTTGTCTAGGATTTGGTCTACGACCCTTGCTATTATCGAGACATCGACTATGAGGGTTTGCTCGACAACCACACGTTTGAGAGTGTACTCCCGAGGGACTCGGACAAAGATGTGATTAAAAAGTGTTCGTCGTGGCAATTTAACACGTCCGAATTTGGTGACACGATAACTTCGGAGGTATTATAATAATAATAACAATTTAAAATTATAACGACAACAATGTTCGTACAACGAATTATCCCTAAATGTGTCGTCGAGCATTTTTACTTAACAATGTTTTTAATTCGCAGTGGAATTTGGTGTGTGACAGAAAGGATTTGAAGAACTTCGCCGAGATGATGTTTTTGTTAGGCGTTGCTTTCGGCGGTTTCTTCTCGGGTCTCGTGTCTGATAGGTAAGTCGAGTTTGGAATACTTTAAGGCGATAACGCGCAGACTTCTGTGGCGACACTGACAAATGCCGGCAAAATGGAAATTCAACTTTTAAAAGGGTTCATGAAGTGTGATTTTCGGTAGCGTTAAAATCCATCCCGTTTTAATTATAACAATAACTCAGCCGTGAAATTCAATAAATCACATTTTGCGGGGTTATAAGCGGCATAAAACTTGCAAAGTTACACGAAATATTATAAGGTTATGACTACAAAGTATTTATATTTGATCAAATGTTTTTTTGCAGCTAATAACTGCGCCGCGAGTAAATAATATTGTTTATCTTGAAATACGGTGAAAGTTTAGTGGTTAGATGTAATTTATAGGAATTTAATAAAATCCGATACTAATTATTTGATCTATATGACATAATAATATTACACTGAACGATAAAAATGATTCATGTGGTTTTTTTACGTCCAAGGATGTAGTGTAATAAAACCTGCAATGATCGCATGCAATGTCTTGTCCAAGAGAACACAACTGGTAATGTATTAATTTAGGAAAATTTTATTGTAAATATGGAATAAAACCCAAGAAATAATAATTGGCTTTAAATATGAACTAGTTAATACTACTTCAAGTTATGTATATTTTCAATTAAATTGCGTATTATCTTTTTAAATTATTCACTAAACATGTTTTTTGTTTTGCCATTTAACCGTTATAGATTTGGAAGGAAAAAAACTTTGATGGCATCTCTTATCATGCAGTTGACACTTGGCATCATGGTTGCTCTCTGTCCGTGGTTCGAAATGTACTTGGCATTAAGATTTGTCTTAGGTTTCGTTTGTGTCAGCATTGTATTCAGCGGCTTCGTGTTGTGTAAGTATTTTTTTAATTATCCGCCGATAGCATTGTACAATACCGCGTAAACTTTATTGTTTAGGCATGGAATTGGTCGGTGGTAAATGGTTGACAATTGCCGGAGTACTCTATTTGCTTCCTGTCCCGCTGAGTTACATTATAATTTCCGGTATTGCATATGTGTGCAGAGGATGGAGACTTCTTCAGTGGTGCGTCACTTTGCCCGCCGTGTTCTTTTTAGTTTTACATTGGTAAGTATAAAAATTATACATTAATATTATTTTTTTTTCTTTTTATTGGCAAGTCGGCAAAGTGCTTCATACGTTAAGTCCATTTGTATAGGTTCATTCCGGAGTCGCCGAGGTGGTTGTTGGCCATGGGAAAAGTGGATGAGACTATGGTCGTTTTGCAAAAAGCTTCCAAGATCAATAACCAACCGTTGCCGCCGAACATGGACAAAATCATTAGCTATGTAAGTAAATGACTCTGACAGTAAAATATTTCTGTAGTTGATACGCTGTCTGAATTTCGTGGCACTTAATTTATGATTTATCGGCTATTACAGAGTGTACGGAAACTGGAAACCACCGGCAAGCCTAAGGTACGAGTTTCAGACCTGTTCCGGACAAAAAATATCAGAAAAATATCACTGGTTCTGTACATACTGTGGTTCAGTTTATACTTAGTGTACTACGGCCTTGTGCTTAATCTGTCCAACATCGGTGGAAATATTTACATCAATACCATACTGTCGGGTTAGTGGCACAGTATACTTTTGTAATTTACTCAGAAATTGTACAACAAACCCGTTTTGCTATTTTTTACCTTTCTTTACGTGCCATTCGGGGATTTTAATGCAAAAGTATTCATGATTCAATCATATCATCACTACTCTTACTAATGAAAGTGTCGTAGTTTTATTTATTTACTATTTTTCAAATACGGACTATAAGTGTTTTTGCGTGGAAAATAATTAACTGTTTTTCGCTTTGTTTTTTTTTTTTAGGTTTGGTCGAAATCCCTTCGATATTAATCAGTGTCGTCATACTTTTGAAAATGGGTCGGAAAAAACCGTTGTGTTTAACTATGGTAGCCGGAGGTATCGCATGTCTGTTGACTACAGTACTGCCTCCAGGTAAAAAACAGAACAACAACTACCCACTAATTGCTGTTTCTCATGATCTGTTTACATTTAACCATTTAAACATTATATTGATTAATAGTAATCTTTGTCTAATAATTGTGTAGACACTGACGAGTGGGTGTCTCTATCGTTGGTAATGGCTGGCAAATTCTCTGTTTCATCGTCAAACGTTATTATGCCACTGTACACCGCCGAACTGTTCCCGACCGTCATCAGGAATTTGGGCGTCGGCACTTCAAATATACCTGCAGGAATCGCCTTAATCATGGTGCCGTATCTTTGGAACTTGGTAATAATGGTTGTTTTGAATGAAGAGTAGCCAAAAAAAAAAAACATTAAGGCGTAAACAACTAACGACATAATATCTACTCGCAGCATTGGCAAAAGTTTATTAATTAGATCAGCGCTAACCATTATTATGTAGTACACCAGGCAAACGTTATTTTTCGCTCCATCGCAACTTTATTTCCTCCCCTCTACCGTGATTTACGCTCCCTCTTAATTTATCCACCCCGAGACGACTGCCCTATTTATCATCAGAATTAACAAAAATCCAAAACATTTTTGCTCAAATTTTTCTGTACTAACGAGTTAGTGATGTGTCTGTAATTCTTGAATAACGTCACGCTAAGAGCTTGCGTAGATGAAATTATTATTTTTTTTACCCTTTGGTTACTTACATAAAAATTCCTAAAGCCAATTTTTGGTAAGCACATAATAATTAATAGAGCCTGTTATTTGTATCACATTACCAATTGCCAATCGTTGTGATTATTTTTGTCGTAGTCTTCCGTGAGCAAAGTTTTGCCGTTAATGGTGTTGGGAACGGTGAGTGTCATCGGCGGATTATCCGTCCTCATGTTGCCAGAAACCGGAAGTCATTTGTCCGACACGTTGGAGGAAGTGGAAGAATGCATTAAGTGAGTATACATAAAATCAGTAGACATGGAGAATTCTAAACACCGTTAAACTGTCGACAGTTCGAGCAATTTGAAATAACTTGTGTTTTTTTTTTACGTTTGTTTATATAGCATTACAAGTAGTCCTCAGAAAAAATACATTGACACGGTAAGTAGTCACGTGCAAACCACACCGACAGAGAAAAAATAGCGAACGCAAAACTGATAAATTTTGCATTTGCTATTCCTTCCCTTTACCCACTCCGTCTTCCTAATCTTTGTATTAAGTTTTAAGTGTTTTGCATTACGTGAAGTTATTGGGAATAACTTTGTATTGCTTTTTACGATTTTGACATATTTCTGTGATAAATATAAGTACCTAAACCATAAAAGTTAATCGACAATAAAATGACTACTCCATATTGTATTTATAGTCAATCAATGTTACTGTACAGCGTGTATCACGATGAGCAGAAAACCTCACTAACTTTTAGTTAGGTCATCGTGATACATCCTGTATAGTATTTGAAACTATACAAATTTGACTTATAAGAATATAGTTTAAAACAGTATTTAGTGCAAGAGTTGATTATAATAAGTCGGTACATAGTGTAGGTTACAGATTTATAAACGAAATATTCATAAATCTACCTAGTCCTCACGACCTGTACCGTAAAATAAAATATGTATTTCCTATATGGCTAATATTTTAATTATACATGATAAATATTATTATTATATAAGTATTTTATTTTTTAATTAATTGTAACATGTAAATATATATTTAAGAGTATAATAAGTTATGTACTAAAATTATTCGAGTTATATTATTTAATCTTTGTAAAAATAAATTAATTTAAACGTTAAGACTATTTTATACAAATTTTATTAATGAATCGTTATACATTTCAATGTTTATATTTTAATAATTTATTACATTAAGATAGTTTGTAATTAATTTGTTTAAAGTTATTTTTAATTGAATGAACGAAATTCAAAGTTTTTCTTTGAAAAGAAAACGACAACCATTATGTATTTTATATATTTTATGTATTTAATAAATGTAATATTATTTTCTAAGACTAAATGCATATTTTTTTAAGAGCAGTTTTACTATATTGAGCTATAACATGAGGTTTGACAAAAAATCATGCTACATAAAAATAAATGTAAAACTTATTATGATATTTCAAGTGTTGTAAAATAAGTTTTAAGAGTGGTTTCCAACAAAGTTTCTATTAATACTACAAAGCAGATTAAATATGTTCATGTTAATTTATTATCAAGATTAATTATTAAGTTAAGAAAAACAAACATTCTTTTAAAATCTAAACTTTATTTCCTCCGTCGGTAGCAATTTGGCGGCTCTTAATATTATTTCTTGGCGTCTGATGTACATCAAATAAATATTGTTTAATCTCAACAACAAAACGACCAAGTTAAACGCACACTTAAGTGGCTATTATCAAAAACGATATACATCTGACATGTTTATTTTAGTTTTATGACCTTTTTCATAGCAGCGCGCACCGTTAGAGGGTGTATTGAGAAATTGCCGAAAATACCAGTAAACAACTTAAGTGTGTTGAGATAAATGTCATCATTTTTTATATCTTTTCAGTTTTTGGCGGCGCCAATGGCAAACGGACTTGCCAGTCTAGAGATCGACGTAAACCGCACTATTGGAAATAATTTTAGTCGATGCAAGTAGTTGGACACAAAACTATAGCGCTTGTTATTTCCCATATGGAACGACCGATATGTGTTTTGCGCAATGCATTCAGGATGTGATAGTTTTTCTGTCGCCTATTTTGATCTATTCTTGACCTGGATATCCGTCGTACCGCGTTATGCACCTTAGGCATGTTTGAATTCTTCCAATGCACAAAAGTGTAAACCGTCTTTTTAAATGATAACATCATCGGTATGGATAATATTTGAACTTTGATGCGGAGCTGAGAAGGTACTGTTTTTATAACGTTTTTATTTTACAATGGTGTGTTTTTATTTTTGTGTCTGTATCTGCGATATCTTCCAATTCTCTGAACCGATTCTTTTAAGTAGCAAGATCAAAAATCGTACCTCAATGGTATTTCATAGCACAAAATTAAAAAAATTCACCTCTTCCCCTTCAAAATCGAGAAAAACACCCAAAAACTGTTCATATTTTTTATCTTAAAACTACGATGCTCTATAACTTTTTTTAAAAATATTATTAGAATTAGTTCCAAATTTGTATGGAATATTCTTTAAACATGTACTACCGATAAAAATGAACAAACCAAAAATGTATCATAAGCCTTTTTTCCTTAGAAGGGATAGAATTTTTTTCATTATTTTACTTTTTCAAGCAAAGTGAAAATCAGACCGAATATATATATAATAGAACTATAACATATACAAATTTATCAAAAATCTGTAGTCAAATTTTTTTCATTAAGCAAAAACCGCAAAAAAAAGGGAAAATTACCCTTTGACCATAGTAAATTTCCAGGTTGCTATGAGTGAGTGAATCAACAGTCAACAGGTAATGATCATATTTGAATTACATATAGACAGACAATCTAGTATCAACCCTAATCGTATTCACCCTAATACTAAAAATTCATTTAAAGTACATAATTGTCATTAGGTAAAATGCCTATATCGATATTTGTATTTTTATCTGTGAATCTTGGACCATCCTTACTCACTTGCGTATAAGACTTTGGCATTTGGATATTATTTATTTCGAAAATGTTAAGACCAAGTTGAGACAATTAAACAATTTTTAACAAGAAAAATACAAATTATACAAAAAACAATATGTACTATTCATAAAAAATAAATTATTTAAATATTAATTACATGGCGATGCGTATAGATTTTACATAACAAAAAAATAATTAAGTCAAAAAATATTATCCTATTAGTATTTTTATTTCTGGAAGGTAGGTCCCATTAAAATATCGACAATAATAACAGTTAAGAAAAACCATTTTTTTAAAACTAGTTTACTTTGAAGTTTAACGTACTAATAAAATACTACAGAATAAAAATTGAATAAGGCCTTTTTATTTTTACAATATAACATAGATGAAATTATCTGTGAAAAACTATTTTACAAAAATTAAATAATGATACAATGATTAAAGTTTTTAATGTTGGTTAGCGGGAATTGTTTCATCAATTTTAATATAATTAGGTTTTAAACCTTTATTTTTTTGTAAGATTAGGTACATTTTCCATAAAATCAATTTAGTATTGTGTACAAAAATGTTTACTTTTCAGTCTATTTTGAAAAATGTATTGTGTTTTTATACCAATGTTTCATACCTACATATATAATTATTGTACGTTTTAATCAATATACAATATATATATTTTAAATTAATTTGTCAGTTTAATTTTTTAAAAAATACAACAATTCGCAAGTGGTATTTTACATTGAATTGATAGCAAAACGTTATTTACTATAAAACTTTTCGAATGTAGCATTTAAAGAATTTTATTACGTTCAATTATTTAGTAAACACCGCTGAAGAGTATATTTATACTTTGATCTTTGTAAGAATCGATTTTAGATTCCGAATGTACATTTAGGTAGATTCAAAACTGTTACGCTATAGATAAAAGATAATATTATTACCAACGGATAAACGGGCGGGCAAAAAAAATCAATCGCTAATATAAAAAAGCCAATCGACTTCACAATTTATAGACAATGTGTGTGTTTACCGAGTAGCCTTATTTTTTGGAGCTACTCAATTCTATGGAGTTTTACGATATCAGTAATAATATTCGGTAATCAGCCGTCGTTTTTCCAAAAAGTATTAGGGCCGGATGATCAGGATTACCTCTTTTATCGATATCTATAACATTTCAAAGGCTCAGTGGGTACTTATCGGAAACGATACTCATTGTTCTCAATTGCATAGTTTGTTTCTCAATGTCGAAATGATTGTGTTGCAACATTACATTCAACACAATGGTTTATAATGAAATTGGCCTATTGTAATCCTAATTATTGGTTCCTGCGATTATGCCAAGTCGGATGTATTTACGATGTCATATAAATGAGATTAAACAAATTGACAATAATATTTTTCGAGCATAATAGTATTTTTTATTAGATTGCGGTTTTCGGAAATTTAACCATTTTTCAGGCATGTGCCACAGTACAGTCATTTTGGGATAAAAAGATAATTTCCGTTAAATAAAAGGGATGTCGACATGACACGGGCGTAAAGCCAAATTTATGCTTGACGCGCGAGTTTCTTCTACGAGCCTTGAAAAATAAAAACTAATATAAAACTTAACTTTGCCGTTTTGCCGGAGGAGAATGTTCAATGTACAGTAAAATTAGTGTATACTGTATAGTGTCATAGACGGCGAGGGGATGAATACATAAAACCATCTTTAAATGGGTTTCCTCTCCTTAGATTTAATTATCGATTCGGGGCTTAACGGCCAACGGGTCTATAAAAATTACGGCCTGGACAATATAATATGCGAAGAAAAAGCAGTTTGAGAATAATAAAACCGTATTATAAACAGTTTATATTTTTATTTCGTCCATAGCTGTTGTCGAAACAAATGATACATTCGTGATCCGCAAAATACATAATTTATCACAAAGAAACCGTCGTAAATGCACTTAAATTAAAAGAAAAGATGCTCACATTATTGTCTTGCGATGCACAAGACCGTTTGAAGAGAAGATCAGGATAGAGAACCGCAGAGAGTATCGTTTTTGTTTAAACCGTACCTAATACACGATTGACCGGTAAATGCGGTAAAATCAAATCCCACATTACGATCGGCATAAATATTATATAATATGTATAATATATTTTGAACAAGCGTTTCGAATAAAAGTATAAGCTAAAAGTGTAAAATTACTTGGGGCGTCGCGCTCATAGCGTGTGTGTGTGTGTGTGTGAAGTACCTACTTAACGTGGCGTGTTCAGAGCCCATCTCCCGTCACTAAATTATGCAATAAGACGTGGATTGGAAAATCCGTGGTAAAACACTGTCAAAACAGTTTTGAATATTTTATGCGGTTTCTAGTTTTTGCCGCCCCTCTTTGGCCGCCCCTACCGCCGGTCGTTCGCGCCTACCAGACAGGGCCGTTCATTTTTGTTATTTCACAAAAGGGCGACGACAGACAACACGTGCTCGACATTGGCGATGGGTTAACAAAAACGAATGAAAAAAAAAAAACTACTTAAGGGTGAATGTTTAATGGGCAGAAATGCACCGCGTCGCCGTGCCAAACTTACTGCTCCTATTTTTCAACATTGCCCTCCCTATTTTATGTGTAGGGTACGAAAACTTCCCCTAGCTACACGCGCGCCTCTCTATCGAGATTACACTTGTACATTAAGTCTCGACAGTCAACGGTTCATGGTGATATTTTCTTTGCACCGGAGCGTCGCGTCGTCACACTACATATAGTTTTTACTGCACTTGGGTAGGTATATAATAACAATCAATACTTACAAGAAGTGTACAAGGTCCCCGGTAGAAGAAACTCGTTACATATTATACTAAAATGTTCATGAAAAACACAAACAATCGTCGATCGCTTAACTCGCTTATCAAAAAAAAGTACAAATAATCAAACCTCTCACTATGAGTAAAATACAAAAGGCACACTAAAATGTTGTACACTCGACTTCTTGTTTCCACGATTCCTTTTAAAGTTTCTAAGGTTCTAAGAATTTCATTTGACTTCTGATATAAATCTTTACACTTCAATTAAGTGTAATAGTATTAACATTCCGTATTGTACAATATCTATATGGCATATCTTTGGCATTATCAAAAGTCCTTCAGATATTCTTGAATTATCTAGTTACAGTATATACATTCAAACATCGGCTACATGTTATAAAATTCTCTGAAAATTATCTAGATGTCCAATTACAATAGTTGAGAAAAAATAATGTTTAATATTTTAACGATAAAAATCTT